AATGCTGATTTAGGAATCTGACTTTACAGTTTATTTTGTACATCTTTAACTGCCACAACCAGGGCACTCGTGCTGTAATTAACCAAAGAAGCAATAGTTTTAATAACCAAACAGAAACTTAAAGGGCATAACAGAAAATTATCATTAAGTAAAATCAAACCATGCAAAGTGAAGTTTTCCTTACAACTGATAAACTGCATGTACTGTATATGTATTTGTGTGTTTAAAGCTCTCTGTTTGCACTCAACACTTCCAATTAAGTCCAAGCAATTACACGACTGAAGCATTCATGTAGCTCATCAGAAACACCTACATGTAAGCTGCACTACCTATACTTCCCATACTTTATAGGCATGCAATTCTTAGAATGACTTCTGAGTCTTATATAAGCAAGGATAAATGTTGGAGTGTAATGACAGACCTGCCACAGAATTGTGAATAAGCTGACTAGCTTGATGGGCAGCCACATGACTGCAACTTACGTGACAGCTATCTAGATTCAAAAGGTGGTTCAAATTAGATTTTTCCAAATCCCTTTGCCCTGAGGTAATTTATAAAAGGCGGTGCATTTAATGGTTTATTTGTGCGATGTTTCGTAAATAATACATTTGCAAAATACATTTGCATAATCATTTTTACAAGTCCTTCACACTAATAGGGTGGAGGGTTTGACCAAAGAAGAAAAACGTATAGGATTGCAAAGAAAGGGTGCAGTTCCACCACTACATGTGGACATGACCATTTCCTGCCTTCAGCAACCAACATGGCTGAGAGATTAAATTGATCCGTGCCTTAAGCTGCAGTTCCTCTAACGGCCACTAGATAATGGTATAAAAAAATTCATTTATGTCCAAAAACAAAGTGATTATTTTTCATAATTCCCAATTTAGTTTTTTATACTTCAAATGTGTACCTCGAATTCCATAAAAGAGCGTTTAATTCTTTTTGGTGGCCTGCATTGCTGTCCCCCGCTTTGCCTTTTTTTAATTTAACACGAGGGAGCCAAAGTCTGATTTTTTAGTAGGGTTGCATGTTTTCCCAACTCCATATTCCCATTTCAAATTTTTTATTAAAAAAGTGATATCCTCAATTTTAATAATGTAACAATCCTACATTATGTTATTTTCAGAGAAATCATGTTTTATTTGTCAGTGTGGCATGACGGATGGCTGTAAATACTACAATACCCATGTTGATGTGAAGAAGAAGCCAGTCAGGGGCACTAATAGAGGGCTGCTTGAATGATGTATTTTTGATTCATTTGATTTTGGATTATTATAGAAAATAAGCTCTGTGGTAAATAAGGTTTATGATGCGTACATGTTTTGTTTAGCAAGATGATCTTCACAGATGAACACCACTCTTATCATTTTTGAAATGTGAATGCAATCACCAGAAGTAGAAAGCTAACGTTAGGCTATAAACAAACACGCAGTGGCAATTTTCTTAACAGTGTAATTTTAAGATTTGTTGCTGTTAGCGAAGCATGTGACAGAATTTTAAGCCCAGTGATTGGATGTTTCTAACCAAACTTCTGCTACTTCTTGTGAGGTTAACTTCACACAGTGACGTGTTAGATATTAAATATCACATTTCTGTCGTACAGATGAAAAGACAATTCGCAACAAAGTCAGAAAAAGTATTTCTTGTGGCTTGTTTATGTAAAGTCGCTCAGCTTATCGCACTCAGCCCTGGTGTTTGCTGCTTTCCAGTCCCAGTATACTTTTGCCAAATTTGGAATTTCAATTTCAATCAAAATACAGAAACCTGATGTCACAGACTCTACAACATATTTTTCCTTGTCTGTGGTCTCTGGCAGAAAAAATGCGAATGGAAAAAAGAATTCCCAGCATGTTTATCTGAGGGCGGGCTACAGGAAGCAACAGGGGCTCATGGGAAATGGAAATTAAACAACAGTGATGTGTTGATATTTCAGTATTATTCACATTACATCTATTAAGCAGTATACAAATTGTCATACAGTATGAATGGAGGGAGCCAGTCTCCTTCATAAACCAACTTAAAACAACACATTGTAATGTAAGCAGGGTATTATCTGAATGAGCAGCAGGCAGATATACATACACACAGTATATCAGTGGAGTTTAAACTGTTGAAGTCGGGTCACTTTTGATCATTCCCTTGAGAGAGAGAGAGAGAGGGAGAGGCAGGGAAACTGATCCCTGCTCAGCTCTGATAGAAACTATTTGAGAGAGTTTGGCCTTTTATCATTTTGGATTCATTTTACCTCCATGACTCTACCTCGTAGTTGCTGTCAAACAGGGTCAGGCTGATATATGGGGAGTATATTATTATCGCTTTATTAGAAATCTGTATGTATCGGTGATGCCCATATCTCAGCCAAACCCTCGTCCACAGCACAGCCTCGCCAAACTCTCTCTGTGCGTCTCTGCTGTCCTCAGCTGCTGAGCAGGACGATGATGTAAATGAGGAGCAGACAGATGAGGATGAGGGTGAAGTTGACGAACAGCTCCTGCAGATTCCTCTTGGCTTGTGGGTTCACCTCGATCTGAGACGCTCGGCGTATGGCCGACTTGGTCATGTGCTGAACACGCTCCATGGAGACTGGTTAGATTTTGATGAGGCTGGATTACGTGAGGAGTTCACAAGAGTTCAGGCTGCGGGGCCTGTTTGGACTGAGTGGAGCCGGACTGAGCTGGTAAAGGCTGGTTTTAGGAGGTGAAGTCAGGGGAACTGCTGCTGGTTGTCGAGAGATGAGCCCTGGAGATTAGGCAGCCTGAAGTGTTTCAGTGTCGGTTACACAACAAAAACAGAGATCTCTCCTCTTCTCTCTGCTGGCAAAAAATGGAGAGGGAAGAACCACAGACAGTGAGAAAAGGTTGTTAGAGACGTTGTTCTCTGTTTGGTTCAGTCTCACTTTGCCTTCATACTTTAACATGAAAGCATTCAAAGCACTTCAGCACCCTCCTGGGGGTGATGTCCCCCTGGTTGAGGTCTTGTGTGACCTTTGTGTATCGCAGTGCATGGTGTGATGATAAGAGAGCTGCTCAGAGGCGCCAGCTGAGGTCTGATGATGTGTAAAGCCAGACTCTAGTAGGGGTGGCACTGACACAGTGACAATGACAATGTTTGTCAAAAAGAAAGAAGAGAAATGAAAAGACATAAACTGAAACACATGATATTCTCATGAAGGACATTTACCATTTAAACTAATACATACAGTTGAGCAAGTACTCTGCTGAGGTCAGCTACCAGCACAAACTAAATCTAGCAACTTTTATTTTAAAAAGTGTTCTGTAAATCAGAGCTTCCCAAACTTTGGAGACTTGAGGCCCCCCAAAAATAATCAAAACCTCAGAGGCCTGCCCATCTCATTATGTCATGGATGTCATACATAATGAATATTGATTAGTAGATGGCTCATTGTGCAAAATAACCCCCATTAGCTACTGGTCATCGATACTGAGTAAAGCTGTAGGGTTAAAACCCCGGAATGAACTGAACTGAGCAACACTCTCACTTATGAATTTTACTTTTATTTGTTAGAGGGAGATATATAATTTCTTATTTTAACATTGTCACGTTTTAATAATTTTTCACTCACACTCAGGCTGAATGAATAAAAGTAGAAAGTAGCCTATGAAAAAGCACTTGAGTAGATAATAAATGAGCGTCATGTTGCAGCTGCAGGCTCTCTACTCCCACTAAATCCCTTTTGTTATCTGATCTGCGACTTTCCTGCGATCAAAGTCACTGTGACAAGGTGACCGTGCTTTTGCATTAGTGGCTCCCACAAACGGTGAACATCTTACCACTTGTACATCAGCTCTGCCAAGTCGTTTGCTATTTTTAACAAGAATGAGAGTCCTGCTGGTGGCCCCTGCTGGGTACATTGTTCATTACATCCAATAATACAAAAGAGGAGAGTGACATGCATTACAGACGGCTTTGGATTCCCTGCAGCCTTGTTACTAGAAACGTCTGTTGTCAAGGTGTTAATCTGTCTATATACTATGTAAAGAGTTGTCCTGAGGATGGCACTAAAGGAAATATTGCTATTTACTCTTATACTTGTACTATGCTTGTAAAATTAAAACTGCACTTTTATTCAGTCTCTTCCAATTTTTTGTATTTTCCTGTTACTTTGCTGCAGTGTGGCATCAGTACACACGGGAGCCATTTAAGTCATTTGATACCTTCCACAGACATTTCAACACGTCTATTTTTATCATTTCACTTTTGTTTGTTCCACCCTCAATCCATCTCTGTGTCACCCATTATCACTTGACATGTTAACACCTTTACACACACACACACTTTCTCATACCTGATGGGATAACTCCATAAGAGTGTCAGTCGGCTCTGAGACCTCTAACCTCTGACCTGACTCAAGTGTCTGCTCTGACAGCAGGAAGTTTTTGCGGTATGATTTATGATCCCTGAAGACTCACACAACCTCTCTGCATGTACAGTAAAATGTGCTGTAGTGTGAAAGTGGTATCTCTATTCAGAGGCTTAGTTTTGTTTGAATTAAATATTCAAAGCTTAGGCAGAAACAGCTGAGACATTCCTGGTCTCGTGGAAGAGAAAAACAGCTTCACTCATTTTAATGAGTTATTATTAATGACTTTTTATTAGGAAATCAGCTGAAAAGAGGCCACTGAGGAACTGTCTTCTGAAGTGTTTTCTGTTGATTTTCTCCGCACTATACTCTGCTACAGCCTAACATTAGCCCTGCTTTGCAACAGACTGTTACTGCTAATTGGCATTAGCATTTGTGATCTGAAGGGACATTCTAAATATTGGTTTTACTACTCGCCACCATCTTTGAAAACAAACAAACCACTGTTTTGAGTGGAGCTTCGATGGGTTGTACAAGTGCACTGACAATAATAAGAATATTCAATAGATATTTCACAGATATTTTGAACCAACTCTGCGGTTCCCCTTCAGCTTTACAGAGTTGCATAGTCTCTTTTTTTCGACACAAGTCACATACATAACGTTATGTGACTTAAAACTCAAATAACTCAGTGCTGACTTATGGTTTCAAATGGTTCTTCTGGGTGAAGGCCCTGTGTTTGTTTGACCCATCTATCCACCACCGCCACCTCTAACATGGAATTTCTCGCTCTTTACACTGTGTCACCTGTGTTCAGGCAGAGGGGTGTGACAAAACATTAATACTTAATAAACATAATGTCCTGGGAATGAGAACAGGCTGGATTTTCTGGCCTGCATTTTTACTGTTTTGGTTGACTCCCACCACTCTTATTGAGTATTGAGTATTAAATTGAGACTGATTCATAACCAGTTAAAAGCTCTTTATAACACCTTTTAATATTCATTTTCTTGGAAACTGCATCTTAAACTTAAACTTTATCTGTGGCTTCCCCACTCTGCTGTGGTGGCTTAAACAAAGAATAAGTATCCATAACCCCTGTCCAGCTCTTGGCCCTTAAATCATTCAACACCACAGGTGACAAATAGAGCTGATACAACCTTCTTCTTATCTCTTATCCTGTTTCATTCACTTCTCCCATCCAGTGAGAAATAAGCCTTTTTGTCCTGCCAGTGCTTTGACCTTTGACACCTCAGGTTAAATTTGGATCATTTTGCATGTGGCCCTCTAGAGTTGAGCTCAACGCTGTGTGACTGACAGCATGTGAGTGACTTGTGCTCCACCTTATCCTCCACCCATCTCTACACATAATTATGTGCTGACTAATGACTGTCAATCATTTCAGAAGCTGACGTTCTTCTCTGTGACTACAGCCCAAGTAATCCTCCTTTCCACAAATAAGAAATGAGTAAAAAAATGAAATGTTGACAGTAAATATACCCAGACTTACCTCTGTCTGGCATTTGTGGGTCTGTGATACACACACATCTCCCACGTCGACAAAAAATATATTTTCTTATTTTTCAATTAGCTTTTTTTGTTGTTTTTATTACTCGCTACATTCCCCTCCTGTCTGTCTCCATTTCTCACATCTCACAGGGCCACACAGACAGATGTTGAGGCATGCAGTGATTGCTTAATCTACATTATGTTATTTACATAAAAACGTGCAACCAGACGCAGCAACGGGGCAGGCTGGTTGGCGGCTGACACTGGCAGCCCGAATCTCATTTTCTTGCTGACGCGTTAACTGATAATGCAAAAAACTTAATCAAGGCTTTTCTCAAATCTTTGCTTTTCTTGTTAATTATAGCAGAGTTTTAGCTCTTGAGGCCTCTAAAAGCACTTGGCTATAAGCAGCATGTCTTAAAGAAAAACTTTTTTTAAATGAACTAAACTGAAACTTTCACTATATCCTGACAGTAGTACATGGGACAATTTGCAAGAACTTATTTTCACAAAAGGTACCTACTACAGATGAGTAAATAGTGGCTCCAAGAAAATCCAATTTCCCAACTTCTCTCAAAAGTTTTTTTCTCTCTCCTGCAAAGGAATCAGACTTTCACAAGCTAATGTTCTAAACTTCTTTAATTGTGCGTCTTGGTGGCAATTTTGAGGTGAATCATGTTTGATTGACAGGTGTCTCAGCCTGTCACTGTCAGCCCCAGTGATTTCCACTTGCTTTGTCCCACCTCAATCTAATCCTTTGTTTTGTTGGATCATCTGTGCTTTTATCAATATCTCAGCTCTCTACTGAATCTGACTAATGTATCTGTGACATTTCTACAAATGAAATATATGTTACTTACTTATGGAATATTAACAGTAGGCTATAATTAATTACAATTTGTAAATATACTACTTAGGATGTAAAATTATGTAAAATTGTTGTGTATTTTATTTTATTTAAAAGATATTCCACAGGCACATTGGCCTGTTATCAAAAACTTATTTGACTTATTTCACTTGTTTTTCATTTAACCAGCTTACTGTTTGTGTTTTACTGTGTGATGCATTAGTGAACTTGAATCATGTTTTATTTTTAAATGGTCATTACTGTCAGAGAAGTCTGGTTCTGTTACTTTTATAAACACAATCAGCTGTTGTTGGCTGTTGTTGCCAAGAGCTAAATACCTCCAGTGTGACCAACAGAGGGGAGTGGATGTGTAGTTAAATATGAAAGTACAAAGTTTCATCTTGAAAGTATAGACTGAAATATTCCATCACAATGACTGTGTTACATTGTGTGTGTGTGTGTGTGTGTGTGTGTGTGGGTGGGTGGCTTTTAGATGCCAGTCATTCCACAGGTGTGACTTTTATCAGTATGTGTCAGCACCAGTAGCTGTTGTCCTGAGCAGCAAATGAGGCTACACACAGATCTAACAGCTGAGGTGGTCCATCTGCACAATACGGGCAGTGTTTTAGTTTATGATCCAATAAAAATCTATATATTTTTGTAAACAAAATAGCTGCAGTGCTGTATCTTTTGCAACTTCTGGCATCTTGACGGTGAAAAAAATCGGAGTATGACAGCAAACAAGCAGTAATATGTAGGTTAGACAGATCCATGGGTTTGATGCTGACCTATTATTCTAAGTGGGGCATGGTCAGTGTCACCCACCTGCTCATAAAAGCTGTAGGGTGACATTACTTTGCAACAACATTCATTGTCTTTAAATGTGTCTGTTATGTTTCTAAACTATTAAAATAAAAAAATATAGACCTATATATGATAGCTCTGTGTGTAATCTGTTTGAATGTAGGTGTGTTAATCTGCCAGTTCCAGAGAAGAGGTCCTGTGTACTTAATGTGAGAGAGGAGATTAAGATGAAGTCATTATATATTAGTTTGTGCCCTTTTGCATGATGATAGAAACACATTAGTTAAATGCAAAGTAACTTGCATTTAACAAGGTTAAATACAAATGTACAGGAAATGTCTTTCAGTTTTAGTATTTCTCAATTTGGTGCTATTAAGAAGCATTGTTTATTGAGTGTGGGATGTCTATGTGACTGTGAGTCAGTGTGTTTGTATTGTAATACTTATTCTAATACTTAAACTTATACTCTAATAACTTAAACTAATACAAACTAAACTAATACAAACTAAACTAAAACTAAACATTTTAAAACCAAATCTTGCAATGTTTTTGTTAAAATAACTTTTACAGAATATTTACTTGTTTTCCTCTGTATTGTATTGTATTGCCAATTACTGGGACACAAGTGTCACCATCCACTTGCATATACCTCCTCGAGAAGTCATTGTGGAATAAAGAAAATGCTCTAAATCTTAACCGATATCTTTTATCAGTAGGTGAACTATCACCATAGAACCCTAACAACTTCTGATAAGCTTCCATAGCCAATTTGATCCATTTTACCACTAATTACTATGAAGCTAGCTGTCATATCAGACGGGATTAGTTTTAAACCAAAGGCCAATATCATTTGTTACCATGTGCTACTGTAACATTTATAAAATCCCTGTTTAGAGCTGATCTGGCTTGTAAGCACTCTAAAATAAAATCATGTGCTTTGGATGGGAATGTAAGAAGTGGAGATGAGTGTTTATCCCTCTGGGAGGTTCAGTCCAGTTTCCATCACCCCCTGCCCTCCCGCCCCTCTATTCAGAGCTGTGTTTACTGTATGGGAACAATGACTGCACTGATTCATACACTGCTCCTCTGTATCTTAACATAAGCCCTCGCAGCAAGATCAATGATGCCTCACTGTGACAATTACTCTGTGCTCATCAGACTACACAGCTACTTGAGTAAATGACTAACTTAAACTTAGAACTGTTCTATGGTCATTGAGTCCACTAGAAATAATAATACTTGATGGATTTTAATGACTGTCCTAGTTTAATGACTCATTCTGAGCATTATTATATCCTATACATCATCTGTCATTGTTGTCCCTCTCTTTACTGTTGTAAAAAAAATGAAATCAATTGAAGAGTGGTCTGTAGAGGATGCTGCTTCTTACCTTTCAGATGAGAACAGAGCTGGTCGGAGTTTGAGAGAGAAATGTTAGATATGCAGCGCTCTCCAAGGCTGTAAACACAATGTGAGAGGGTGAGAGAGAGAGAGGGGGACAGAAAAAGAGAGAGAGAGAGAGAGAGGCAGGACATCCCAGAAAAGATTTTCAGAGAGTGTGGATACCAAGGTCGTACCAGGTCTGGTAAATTATACATGCAGCAGACCACATCTGCCAGCGGAGCTCACTTTTCTTCAGGAATTTGAGTTTGAGTCTTAAAACCTGAACATGTCAACTTGTTAAACCATGATCGATAAAAGCTCTCAATTCACTTGTGATTATGTCCATGGGTCACATTATGACAAGCTGAAGACAATTCATTATTTGAATCTGTCAAGATTCTGTTCACAACTCATATTATATATTATATGTCTGTATTTAACAGTTTATTTTTGGCTTCAATCATAAATCAAGCTTGTGGGATTAGAGCTGGGCTTTGCAGTCATTTTGGCAGAGTGGCCACAGTTGCAATTGCAGGTAATGTGACACAGAAACCTCATGTCATACTAGGGCGGTCATGATATCAGATCAGGCCAAAATTATTCACGATAACGATATTGTGTGTATCTATAGAAATAAAAAAATCAGTCAGATTCATATTTAACTTTTATTGTGTGCTATGTCTCTTATTCTGCAAATCAATTTGACTGATACAAATATTTGAGAGATTTCACTGCACTCCTTCATAACATCAAAACTGGTGCCAAGTACACATGACAGATGTAACTACAAAAACAACGTAACAAGACTAAACAAACGAGCGGGAGACTCGACTTTGCAGATAAACAATAGAAATGAGTAAAGAATGTGTGTACTTTTGCCACCTCTGAGTGTGAACCACAGCACAGGAACGTAAAGAAACAGAAATTATTTCAGAGGTGCTGGATTATTTACACAATATTATCATATGTGTATTTTTAACACAGTTGTGATCTCCAATTTTTAAATATTACAATTATTGCCAGTATTGGTATATTACGACACCCCTATGTCATGCATGTCTACAGACAGCAGACAGCCTCCAGAATCTGCTCCAGAGGTAATAAAACGTTTTAAAAGTATTTATGAACTTTCTGTTTTTAGCGGCCTTTAACAAACACCATCTCCGATTAGCAACTTGGTTCTTTATTTTAAAAAAAACACTTCTAAAATTTAGAAGAAATTCCTTTTTCCTTTTGACTCTAAAGTCTAAAATCTAAATCTAAAAATAACTTCGACACATCTTAAAAATTGATTAGAATAATGAAGTTAACATTACTTTATGTTATGTGTTTAGGAAAATGTTTTATTGATCATAGTGTAACAACTATAAAACACAACTGACATGTCCCTAATGTACCTTGTACCTTCATATCCCTAATACTTTTTGAATTCCATTCAATATGGTCTAAAAAAGTCTTGAATTTAACCAGTCGAAACCAGCAGAAACCCTAACACCTTACTTCCTTTGCTGCTGTTGAGCACCCATAATGTAACAGATTGCTCACTGTGTTTGGATTCCTCATTGTTTAAGTGTTAGCTGGGAACAACCAACTCATCATGGCAGAGCTAGCTTGCAGGTTGGCCTACAATCAAACATCACAGCTGGATCCCTCTATTGTCTTCATTATCCTGGCAGCCTGATAGACATTTGGCACAAGCGGATAAGCGAACAGCTGATGGCACCTCTAAATATACAGTGTGGCCATGACCACACCAGTGAAGAGCCTGGGAATCGATCCTTTGCTGATATTGTTAAAGCAGCAATGACGGAATAATTTCCCAAATAGTGTTGTATAATATATCATAGTATAGTTGTCCTGCCAACCTTTAGCATGAAAACAATATCTGAAATATGTTTTGTGACACTCCAAAGCTGCACTACCATCTGATAGCATTATTTATATAGTTAAAACATATTTTGGGGCTAAACAACTCATTCTGGGTCTTTGGCAGAGTATGTGTGTGTATGTGTGTCAAGTCCTGGACAGCATCGTCCACTTGGGAGAAATCAAAAGCGACAAGATCTTCAAAAAACTCCGGAAAAAAGTATAAATAACCCCCCCACCATGGCCCAGAAAGCATTGCATCTGCCTTATAAGGAGAATCTGCATGTAAACAGGCTGTCAGTCACATACTGGGCAGTAAGCTTTGTTGTTAATGCTACTTACTGCTCTACTGTGGCTACACACTTCAAACAGCCTGAGTGCATGAACAAGCAGATGTTTCTCTTTTTTATGACAACTATTTTTCCAAAGATAAGATGAAACATTGATCCTTCCTTTGGGAAAGCTTGCTCCTCAAGAAGGAAATACAAATGTGTTGAAGAAAACAATCACAGTTTCACCAACAGGACATGTGAATTAATATATATATTTAAAGTGATTCTACTGAGACAAAGAATATCCTTGTACAATACAAAAACACATCAGATAGAAAGAGACAAAACTGAATGAAATGCCATAGAAAAATGTATATGCTTATGACATTTTAGTTTAGTTTAAGTCCCCCTCCATTAAAGAAAATTGGTGTTTCTTCTTGTTCCTACAGTGTGATGTTTGATCTTCACTGTGCAGAATGATGTATGTGCAGAGTCTGACACTA